TCTGTGGTCAAGGGGGTTGTTTCTGAATGCAGAGCGACGTGCTGCATGCAGTGGGCCAGTTCCAAACAAAAAATCTACACAGCACGGGCACTGCAGGACCTTTGATTTGGCCAAACAATACAAGGTCTGTTGCATAAACAACAGCATTAACTGTGACTCAGCTGGGCCAGTTTTCGGCTATCCTGCTCCATGAGGGATTTCCAGCTCCGCTTCACGGCTCAGTGTGAGACGGAACCAGCAGCCCAAACTGCAGTCTGGCTCAGTTTATTATTTTTTTTAACGTAGCCCTGTGAGTCCCTGAAAACTGCTTCCTAGGTTATATTTCTCCAACAAGGAACTGAGGGAAAACGTTGAAAAAGTTCCCTGAGAGGGTGGGTGTCATTTTCTGGGTTCAGCTCTGCGGTTTATTGACCACAGTGTTTGGTCAATAGGAGCCACAGGAGACTGGCACTGCCCTGCCAGCCCAGGAGACTCACAAGCTCACGGAGCAGAAGAGGGAGAGGGACTGTGTCGTGCCCGCCTTCTTTATCTGTGTCGGTCTCTTTTGAAGCTCAGTTTTGCCTCCCTCACTCCCCCGAAGCTCAGCCCTGTGGCCTCTTTCCAGACTTCCGTTTCCGTGGGCATCCTTAGCGGCGGCTGCGAATCCCACGCTGCTTGTCCCAAACTTGAACCATCCACCGGTGCATGCCATCCCTCTCCCTCTACATCTCCTTTTAGACTTCTGCCCCCGATGCCATACAGCAAGCCAGCGCTGGCATCTGCGGGCACAGTCACAGCCCTGTGGAAATGCAGACGCACTGCAGAGGTCGTGCTAGAGGTGTAGGCCCAGTTGAAAAACTAAACGGGTACACGCTTACCCCATGGTGAAGCAGAAGGCCTTGCAGGGGGCCAGTAAAGTAAACGTGGACACTGCGGTACAGTCATGGAGCTATTTTGGACAAACTCCAGCAAGTAAGTGTTTTTCAGGTGCACAGGATGAGTGGGTGGGGTTTTTACATCGCCTATTCCGTAGGCAACGAATTCCAGCTCCAGATTTCTTTTTACTTGCATTGATTGTGTATCTCCCTTCTCACGTACTTCAGAGTAATCATGTATAAAGTTGGGAACAATGTAACTATACAATAATAAAAAAATATATATACAGTATGCACAAAGAGGAGCAAAAAACATCGCTCATCTCACAGTGCTGATTTCTGGTCTCTTTTCCACTAAGAATGGTAAATGCTGGGTTGCTATGCAAATATGGTGGTTATGGACGGTTAGGCAAATATGCTCTTGTGTCATGTGGTCTTGCTTCCGTCTTTCGGTCACGTGGTTGGCCTCGCCAGAATCTTCGCCCTTCCCACTGGCAGGCCGTGCGGACTTGCCCGTGTGCCGTCTCGCTAACCCAAAAGCCTCCTCCTGGTGGTCACAAGATCAGATCCTCACACAGCACCTTCACAATGGCTGCTTTCACGGGGAGCCGGGACCTTGTGATCCGGGCCGGCCCAGAAAAATTAGGCTGATCATTAGGAGGTGAGCGAATGGAGCAGGCAGGAAGTAAGATGGCTGTCTCGAGGCAAGCAGGAAGTTTTATGCTGCATATGTGTTTTATATGTGAGTAGTGGTGGCTTAATGGTTAGGGAAGCGTGTTTGTAATTGAAAGATCGCTGGTTCGAATCCCTGACCAGCAAGGCACCACTGAGGTACCCTAAGCAAGGTACCGCCCCCAAGCACTGCTCCCCGGGTGCTGAATTAGCTGCCCCCCGCTATGTCATGACATCACATATGGGATAAATGCAGAGGACACATTTCATTGTGTGCTGTAGTGTGTCAACAATGACCACTGATCTTTAAATTTTAAATTCTATGTATGTTCATGTCTGTCTGCATCTCATGTATCTATAACCTGTCCATCTTCTAGAACTAGAAGAATAGATTACAGATTTTCTCATTAGCTTAGTCAGCCAAGTGAAATGGCTCAGTCCAGGTGCTAGCAACCATGTCCTGTATTATTCAAATGCATTTTTAATACCCGAAAAATAAAACTTCCATTGCCTAGTTAGAATTGAATTTCGGACCTTTGGGCCATTACACTTCTAGTTGAAAAGTCTTAAGACTTTGGCCTATCCTTCTCTTTCAGCCTCCGACCTCACTGAATACTGCAAGATTGTTCATTGTGACGTAATCACATGGTATAATTTAATGGCTCCCTCATTAGTCATGCATTTTTGCCATATTTTGGAAGAGGAGGAGTGACTGTATGAGTAAGATTGTGTGTGTGTGTGTGTGTGTGTGTGTGTGCGCGTGTGGGAAGGAGAGAGGGGTGGGTGGGCATGGTCCTAGGGGGAGAAAAGGCAGGGTGGCGGAGATTGAGATGAAGAGACAATCAGATCAGTGGGGAACTTGTGGGAAAAGGGAGGCCATTTTTTATTCTGCAGTCTAAGAGAGCAAATGGCTAGCGTAGAGAGATAGACTGTTTTTATTGTAGACCAAAATAAATAGCACCAAAATTCAATCAAGTCATCTGTGGGGCACGATATACCGTAGCATAGCAGTGCAATCCGGAGGACGATTCATAACCAAATCAAGCCTTAAATCACAGCCTATCCGGTTATGTTGTTAGGGGGGGTGTAATGTTATAATGTGGGGGCTGTACTTTCAGGGCAAATACAGGAACCACGTCTGTCTGTCCAGGATCCAACTCCCGGGTGAATGTCTGTGAAAGCAGACGGCCGGTGTCGAATTCATCCCATGCCTTCAGCGAGCAGTCTGCACCCAGGCCCGCTCTCTGGATGGCTTATTGAGCCGAAAGCAGCGGCCACCCCCAAACCATGACATTAGCTATCTCCCTGTCAATAGAAAGAGCCTCCCAGGAGAGCGGGGGAAATGGGCCGAATGTAACTGGATAGCGTTCCTGCCAAAGCAAACCGCAGCCCTAGTGGTGCTACAGTTCAATCCATCGACTGATTTCCCAGCAGCCCTTGCTGTGACCAATTTTTCTACTTAGCATAGTTATGAAAATGGCTCCATAACCGGAGGCTAAGACTTATGGCATAAAATAACTTTTGAATATCAATGTTGCATTAAAGGAAAATCAGTATTTCACATTGCTTGGTAATCTAGTGGCGTTTTGATAAATAATGAAATTAACCGCTTTGGTCTGGGGGGGGGGGTTCCTCTACTTGCTTCGACCCACACGCATGCTGTTTCATCATCAACCTCAGATCAAATTTTATTTAATATCACTTATACTACGGGACCGTTGAATGCTTGAATCTGATTGGCTGACGAACGTTCTGAGGTGTGCAATTATTTTCAGGGAAACGCACGGCGAACGTAGTTCCAGGCAGCTCTCTTGACCGTATTACAGTTCCATATCACTTCGCATAGTTAACTTTAATAACGGAAATTAGCATACAGTACCTATACAGCACACACTGCACAGGACTAACAAAAACAACAACATGACAGACGATTTTCCGAAAGTAAATTTTAATATTTACGGTGAATATGAAACTTTCA